ACTGTGGAACAGACCATCAATTATTCATATGCAAATTCAAACTGAAGCTGAAGAAAATGAAAACAAGTCCATGAGAGCCAAAATATGATCTTGAATATATCCAGCCTGAATTTATAGATCATCTGAAGAACAAATTTGATACATTAGACACTAAAGACCAAAGACCTGAAGAGTTGTGGGATGAAATTAAGAACATCATACAAGAAGAAAATAAAAGGTCATTAAGAAGATAAAAACGAAGGAAAAGAGCAAAATTGATGTCCTAGGAGCCTCTGAAACTTGTTCTCCAGAGTAGAGATGCGAAAGCAAATGGAAGAAGTGAAGAAGTATAAGAGCTAAACAGAAAATTTCAAAGATCAGCTAAAGAAGACAAAGTCAAGTATTATACTGAAATGTGCAAAGACCTGGAATTAGAAAACCAAAAGGGAAAGATATGCTTAACATTTCTCAAGCTAAGGAAGCTGAAGAAGAGATTCAAGCCTTAAGTTACAGTATTGAAGGACTCTATGGGCAAAAGAAGATGTAAGGAATATGCAGAGTCACTGTACCAAAAAGAAATGGTTGATGTTCAACCATTTCAAGAGGTAGCATATGATCAAGAGCCAGTGATACTGAAGGAAGCAGTCCAAGATGCATTTGAGGAATTGGCAAAGAACAAAGCACCAGGAATTGATTAAATAAAAACTGAAATCTTTCAAGAAAGTGAGGCAGCACAAGAGGCACTCACTCATCTATGCCAAGAAATTTGGAAGACAACTATCTGGCTGGCTGATTGGAAGAGATCCATATTTGTGCCCATTCCAAAGAGAAGTGACCCAATGGAATGCAGAAATCATTGGACAATATCTTTGATATCCCATGCAAGTAATGTTTACTAAAAGTAATACAGAAATGGCTACAAGCTTACATTGACAGAGAACTTCTAGGGTTCAATCTGGATTCAGAAGAGACCATGGAATGAGGGATATAATTGCTGATGTCTGATGGATCTTGGCTGAACGCAGAGAATATCAGAAAGATGTTTACCTGTGCTTTATTGACTATGCAAAGGCTTTTGTGTGGATGGTGACAAGCTATGGACAACATTGCAAAGTTTGAGTATTCCGGAACACTTAATTGTGCTCATGAGGAATCTGTACATGGACCAAGAGGCAGTTATTTGAACAGAACATGGGAACACGGAATGTTTTAAAATTAAGAAAGTTGTGCCACAAGGTTGTATTCTTTCACTATACTTGTTCAATTCATATGCTGAGCAAATAATCCGAGAAGCTGGGTTCTATGAAGAAAAATGTGGCATCAGGATTGGAGGAAGACTTATTAATAACCTGCGATATGTAGATGATACAACCTTGCTTGCTGAAAGTGAAGAAGACTTAAAATATTTACTGATGAAGATCAAAGAGCACAGCCTTCAGTATGGATTGCATCTCAATGTCAAGAAAACAAAAATCCTCATCACTGGATCAATAAACAAACATTCTTATCAACAGAGAAAAGATTGAAGTTGTCAAGGACTTCATTCTTCTTGGATTAACTATCAGCACTCACAGAAGCAGCAGTCACGAAATCAAACAATGTATTGCATTAGGCAAATCTGCTGCACAAGACCTTTTTAAAGTGTTGAAGAGCAGAGATGTCAATAACCTCATATGCATGTGAAAGCTAGACAGTAAATAAGGAAGACTATAGAAGAATTGATGCTTTTGAGTTGCAGTGTTCGAGGAGAATATTGAAAGTGCCATGGGCTGCCAAAAGAACCAACATATCTGTGTTGGAAGAAGTGCAGCTAGAGTGCTCCTTGGAGGCCAGGATGGCCATACTTTGTCTCGCATACTTCAAACATATTGCCAGGAGGGACCAGTCACTGGAGAAGGATATCATGTTTGGTAAGGTGGAGGGTCAGAGAAAAAGAGCAAGATTCCCAGTGAGATGGATTGGCAAAGTGGCAGCATCAATGGGCTCAAACCTGGCAACAATAGTGAGGTTGGCCCAGGATCGGACAGTGTTTCGTTCTGCTGTACATAAGGTTGCTATGAATCGGTACCGACTTGATGGCACCTAACAACAAGAACAATGATACAGAAAGCATCCAAAGAAGGTTGAAGGAATACACAGAGTCATTGAACCCAAAAGAAGCAATCAGTATTCAACCTTTTCAAGAGGTAGCATATGATCAAAAGCTAATGATCCTGAAGGAAATAGTTCATCGTGCCTTGAAGTCATTGGCAAAGAACAAAGCACTGGAAATAGATGGAATACAAATTGAAATCTTATAACAAACTGATGTAGCACTGGAGATACTCACCTATGCCAAGAAATTTGGAAGGTAGGTATCCGGTCAACTGATTAGAAGTGGTTCATATTTGTGCCCATTCAAAAGAGAGGTGACCCAACATAATGCAGAAGTCATTGGACAATATCATTGATATCCCATGTGAGTAAAGTTTTATTAAAGGTAATACAAAAATGGCTGCAACCATATATTGACAGAGAACTCCCAGAGGTTCAAGCTAGATTCAGAAGAGGATGTGGAATGAGGGATGTCATTGCTGACATCACATGGATCTTGGTTGAAAGCATAGAATACCAGAAAGATGTTTACTTTTGCTTTATTTACTATGCAAAGACTTTCAATTGTGTGGATTCTGACAAACTATGGACAACATTCTGAAGTGTGAGTATTCTGGAACACGTAATTCTGCTCATGAGGAACCTGTGCATAATACAAGAGATAGTTGTTCTAAAAGAACACAGGGACACTTAATGGTTTAAAATTAGTGTGTGCCAGAGTTGTATTCTTTCATCATACTTATTTAACATGTATGCTGAGCAAATAATCCCAGAAAATGGATTATATGAAGAAAAATGGCATCAGGATTAGAGGAAGATTCATTAAGAACCTGTGATATGCAGATGACATAACCTTGTCTGATGAAAGGGAAGAGGACTTAAAATATTTACTGATGAATATCAAAGACTACAGCCTTCCATATGGATTGCACCTTAATATAAAGAAAACAAAAATCCTTACCAATGGAACAATACATAACATCAAGATAAATGGAGAAGATTGAAATTGTCAAAGACTTCATTTTGCTTGGATCAGTCATCAACACTCATGGAAGCAACAGTCAAGAAATCAAAGAACATATTGTATTAGGCAAATCTGCTGCATAAGACCTCTTTAAAGTGTTCAAGAGCAAAGATGTCAGTTTGAGGACTAACGTGCACCTGACCCAAACCATGGTATTTTCAATAACCTCAGATGCACATGAATGTTGGACAATGAATAAGAAATACCATAGAAGAATTGACACATTTGAGCTGTGGTGTTGGAGGAGAATATTACAAGTACCAGGGACTGCCAAAAGAACAAACCAATTTGTGTTGGAAGATGTACATCCAGAATGCTCCTTGGAAGTCAAGATGGCCAGACTTAGTCTGTCTCTCATATTTCAGACATATTGTCAAGAAGGAATAGTCCCTGGACAAGGATATCATGTTTGGTAAAATGGAGGGTCTTAGAAAGAGAGGAAGACACCCAACGAGATGGATTAGCAAAGTGGCAGCAGCAGTGGACTTAAAGGTAGCAATGATTGTGAGGTTGGCACTAGACCGGGCAGTATTCCGTTCTGTTGTATATAAGGTCACTATAAATTGGTACTGACTCAATGGCACCTAACAACATATATGTTTAAGGAACTTGGTGACATAGTGAGCTAAGCATTGGATTGCTAACTGCAAATTCAGTGGCTCAAACCCACCAGCACCAGCCACTCCATGGGAGAAAAATGTTGCAATCCGCTCTCTAAATATTTACAGTTTTGGAAACCCTAAGGAGTAGTTCTGTCCTGTCCTATAGAGTCACCGTGAGTCACACCAACTCCATAGCAGTAGACTATATGTATGTTTGAAGTTTTTGTAATGTCACAGAGTATAGGTGGAGTCATCACAAAAGTTAGTGTGACTCCAACTTTCTACTGTGTGGTATAAGTTACTTCCAATTTCAGTGTTTCCAGCTGTTGTTGTCTCAAGAAACAGCTAGTCCAAATCTGGTCCTGAGGAAATTTCATCTTCTGATCAATTGCTTCACTAGTGAGTTCTGGAAGTAATTTTATCTACTGTTGTTTAAGTGCTGTGGAGTCGGTTTGATTGATAGCAACCCTTTATAGGGTTTCTGAGGCTTTAAAAATCTTTGCGGAAGCAGAAAGCCTCATCATTCTCCGTCGGAGCAGCTGGTGGGCTCCAACTGCTAACCTTGTAGTTCACATTTCAGTGCTTCTCCCATGGAGACACCATGTTCCCATTTTATCTATTAGCAACCTCTTTAGCATTAGTAGGGGAACACGTGACTTTGTAGGATAAACGCTGGACTTCAAACCACAAGGTCAGCTGTTCGTGCCCACCAGTCATGCCACAGGAGAAAGATGAGGCTGCTTGCTCCTGCAAAGACTTTAAAAGCCTCAGAAACCCTATACAGGGTCTCTATGAGTTAGATCTGACTCGGTGGCACTTAACAACAACAAGCATTAGTCATATATAGACATTGAGGTAGGGAGACTCTAGTGATAATCCTAGGGATGGTTCATTAAGCATCTACCTGAGAGCCAACAAAATATTTAAGAGGTGCTGTAACATGACAGAAGTCGCCTTTCATATGTTACTTAAATTTAAATGAAGAATGAAAAGTCAACATACAATTCAATACCTAGTAGAAACTTTTCATATTGCTTCTTTTAGCATGATAGTTCCTTATCACATCCAATTCAAAACCATTTTGTCCCTACTGTTGCAAGACAAACCTTCCTTTCAGATACCAAAGGGAAAAAAGAGGTACTAGTCTTTTGAATTCTTGATTTAAAAAAAAAAAAAAAATCCAGACAATGAATGTTATATATGTAAAATATTGATAATAATTGAATCATGAATCATTTCTTTATTGCTGTGTTGTCAAACCATCTCAAACTCAGTGACTTAAAACGATAATGATTTAGATTAGTTACAGTTATGTGGATTGACTATGGCAGAAGAGCGTCACCAAAAGCTTCAAAATGACCTCACTCACATGTCTGGAGCCTTCCTGCTGGCTTTTGGCTGTAGTGTACCTCATTCTCCTCCGCCTGGTCTCATCCGGCAGTAGCTTAAACCTGTTTCCTTATATGTAGATTTCAGGACGGTGCTCCAAGAGGACAAAGGCTTGAAGCTTAAAGGTTTTTTGAGATGTGTGTGTGTATAGTACAGTCAAGTCCATTCTGACTCATAGCAACCCATGGGATTTCTGAGGAGTGCTGGTAGGTTTGGACCACTGACTTTATAATTCAGTGCCTATCCTACAGCAACACACCAGGACTTTTGCTTGAGACCTAGGCTCTGGAATTTACAAAACACAATTTCTTTCATGGAGTCCTAGTGTGGCATTGTAGGATAAGCACTGGACTGCTAACAACACGGTCAGCAATTCAAACCAGCCTTGGAAACCCTATGCTGGGTTGCTACGAGTAAGAGCTGACTCAATCACACTTAATAACAACAACAACAATTTCTTTTACATTCTGTGGTCAAATCAAGTCACAAGGGCCTAGATTCAGGAATAATGAATTAGGGTCCACCTCTTCATGGGAGGAGCAGCAAAGTTCCATTGCAAAAGGGCTACGTGTACACAAACTGGGAAATGCTATGGATCTCTTAGTAAACACATCTTTCTTTTTTTAATTCTTTTTATTAAAGCGGGATCTCCAAAGGCAATCCGATTATGTAACCTCACTGAAAATGGAGACATAGAATTAAAAAATCCAAGAATAGGAAATTGTAATGAAAATCTGAAAACACTAGAAAACAAGGTATGTATGCCATGTGGTCCATATGATGGACAACTGGAAAAACTTCAGACTCTTTGTGATGTCTCTGTTCTTCAGACACTTTGTGGTCAAATCAATGCTTTAAGACTCTCAAATTAGAAATAGCAAAACCTAGTTGCTAAACCATTTTCTATTGGTTTAAACTTGACATCTGTTTGTGGAAAACGACAGTTGGACTTGCAGGTATATTTCATCAAATGATAATCCATAGCACATTATAAATGATCTCATCTTTATAGACCAGTGAAGCCTTGAATGAAAACAGAATTCTATTGTCTGTTTCTTAGTGCTGCTTTCAAAGAAATATTGCAAGTGCATAGCTTTAAAGACCAGAAATTTCTTTTCTCATAGTTTAGGCGGCTAGAAGTTAGAATTCCGGGTACAGTTTCTAGGAGAAGGCTTTCTCTCTCCACCTCTAGTGAAAAACTCTTGTCTTGTTCAGCTTCTCTTCTTTGGTTCCTTGCTGATTTCCACAAGGCATTAATCTTTCTCTTGTGCTTCCTTCCTTCTGTGCATAATCTGCATTTTTTATGTCAAAAGTGAGTAACTAAGTACACCCTAGGCTTATACGATCTCAGCAACATACCAAAAAACTCTGTTCCTTAATGAGATTTATATCTACAAATTACAAACTCAGGAATGTTGTTATGTGCCATCAAGTGGATTCCATGCCATAGCGACTTTTTGTGACAGAGTGGACTCTGTCCCATAGGGTTTCCTGTAATCTTTACAGGGACAAATTACCAGGTCTTTTCTCCCTAAAAATGCTGGTTGGTTCAAGAACCCAATCTTTTGGTTTGAAGCCAAGTGTGTAACTATTGCATCACCAGGTCCTTTCCACAAATAGGTTAGGATTTACAACACTTACTTGTGAGGGACATAATGTAATCCACAGCACTAGTTATGTGACATGAAAAGGAAGGCCTTTAGATGGTGCTTTGTATCAGAGTGTAGAAGAAAACAAACTGACCAAAAACCCTTTGAGAAAGGGAGTTTTAGATTCTTTTAGTTGGGTTCAGGGTTGAGTAGGTGAAATGAGAAGTACATCTGATTGGATTTTTTTAACTAGGGAAGTACTGAAATGCAAATGCATTGAAGAGTGAACACATAGAGCCAAACACAGAGAGATAGAGGAAACCCACTTTTCCGTCAGTCCTTATGTGTCCTGGGAAATTTACATCGCTATCTCATTTATCTTTATAAAATCTCTGTGAGTTAGCTGTTATTCCCATATTGTAGATACTTATAGTTAATAAACAACATTCTTATCGATGGAGAAAAGATTGAAGTTGTCAAGGACTTCATTCTTCTTGGATCAACTATCAACATTCGCGGAAGCAGCAATCAAGAGCTCAGACGACATATTGCATTAGGCAAATCTGCTGCACAGGAACTTTTTAAAGGGTTGAAGAGCAAAGATGTCACCTTGAGGACTAAGGTGCGCTTGACCCAAGCCATGATCTTTTCAATAACCTCATATGGATGCGAACTGGACAGTGAATAAGGAAGATAGTAGAAGAATTGATGCCTTTGAATTGTGGTGTTGGAGGAGAATACTGAAAGTGCCATGGACTGCCAAAAGAACCAATAGATCTGTTTTGGAAGAAGTGCAGCCAGAGTGCTCCTTGGAGGCCAAGATGGCTAAACTTTGTCTCTCATACTTTGGACATGTTGTCAGGAGGGAACAGTTGCTGGAGAAGGATGTCATGCTGGGTAAGATGGAGGGTCAGAGAAAAAGAGGAAGACCCCCCAACCATATGGATCAGCCAGGTGGCATCATTGATGGTGTCAAGTGTGGCAGCGGTAGTGAGGTTGGCCCAGGATTGGACATTGTTTCATTCTGCTGTGCATGGGGTCACTATGAGTTGGTTCCAACTTGATGGCACTTGACAACAACAACATAGTTAATAACACTTATTAGTTAATGAACAATTACTGCATGGCAAATCCCCTGCAGACATTTTTACTTGAGTTATTATTATTATTTTTTTAATCTTTTTTTTTTTTTTTTATGAAGGTTTCTGGGTATCTTAAACAGTTTGCTCTCAACTACTAGTCAAACATACCCAATGGAACTGCAGGAGAAAGGCCTCAAAATCATTTCTCCTGAACATTGTTGTTACGTGCCATCAAGTGGGTTCTAACTCACAGTGACCCTATATAGGATTTAAATCTTTGTAGGAGCAAAAAGCCATATCGCTCTCTCATGGAGCAGCTGGTGGACTTGACCCATCAACCTTGGTGTTTACAGTACAGTGCTTATCATATAAAGCCACCGTTCTCTCTCCTAAACATTGGTGATGGTGGTGGTGGTTATGTGCTGTGGAATCAGTTTCTATTCATAGCGACCCTATACAGGGTTTCTGAGGCTGTAAATCTTTACGGGAGCAGACACCCTCATCTTTCTCCCGTGGGACAGCTGGTAGTTTTGAACTCCTGACCCTGAGGTTAGCAGCCTGATTTGTAACCACTACGCTACTAGAGCTTCTTCTCCTAAACATTATGACCAACAAAACCCTATGAAGCTCAGTTCTACTATAATACATGGGGTCATCATGAGTCAGAATCGGGATCAATAGCAACAAAATTTTAAAAAATGTATTTTATCAGATTTAATATATAATCCTGTACTTATACTCACTGCTGTAAAGGGATCGGAAGAGTTCTTTAGTCTGCCTCAAATTTGCCACTTGTTGCCAGACTAAGGCAAGAAAACAAATTCTAAAGTATCCAAGTGATTCTTTATGTCACACAGCCACCCCTGTAATCAGGAATTAACAAAAAACACTCCATCTGGTAACTGAAACTGTTGTTATTAGTTTCCACCGAGTCAATTCTGACTCATGGTGACCCATGCATTACAGAGTAGAAATGTGCCATAGGGGTTATTTACAGATATAGATTGCAAGACCTTTCTTTGGCACTGTTGGATTGGTTCAAACTTTGAATCTTTAATTAGAGTTGTTGGTGGTGTTAATTACCATCGAGTCAGTTCTGACTCGTAGCAACTCTGTATAGTAGTCGGGTGCAAACTCTGTACTATCCAGGAGCTTTTACAGTCATAATATATCCATTTAATAGATGAGGTAACTGTAGCACTGAGAACTCAAGTGTTTTGCCCACAGTCAAGATGTTGGGTCTACCCTTAATTTCAAAATCCATGCACTGGTCAGTGTGCCACACTGGTTCAGTAATCACAGATGGAGACAGAGAATGGCTGCCAACCACTTTCAAGTTATGTGAAATTTGGATAAGCTCCCTAACCTCTCTGAGCTTTCCTCAGCTGTGAAATGGGCATGGGAGTGCTTAACTCATAATGTTTTGCATATTAATTGTGACAATGCCTATAAAGCACCTAGCACCTAGCACAAAACGGGTACCTGGCTACTGAAGGAAAGAGTTGATGGAGTCCTGGTGTGGGACTGTGGAATGAAGCACAGGACAGCAAGGTTAGTTTGAACCACAAAATCAGCAGTTCCAACTCATCAACAGTTTTTGGAAACCCTATAGAGTGTTTCTATGAGTTGGGCAACTCAATAGCACTTAGCAACAACTGATTGAATATTGCTTCTGATTAGCCTGTACCCTTGGTTTGAGTTTTGACATAATGCTGCCATCTAGTGAACATTAAGCCATATTCATGTTGACATACAGCTCCTCTAATAACAGTATGAATTGTCATATTTTAACCTCATAACACAGAGCCATGAGGCCAAATGGTACCTGAAAAGGTTGTCTTGTTCAGTACTTCCTAAACTGTGCTGGAAAAACAGTTTTTAAAATTTCTAATCCGTTGCAGAACAATCATTTTGTAAAATACAATAAAAATCAATTCTAGAAAAATGAGAGGGAAAAAACATATGAATTATAAGTCCAAGTTTTAAGTACTAGATTCAATAGCATAAAATTGGTATATGAATACCAAAAGCACTAGCAACAAAAGATAACATAGATATATGTTGGACTTTATTTAAAAAAATAACAAAAACAAAACCTGTTCAGTAAAGGACTTTAACAATGAAGTGAAGAGAAACCTACAGACAGAAAGAACATTTTTGGGAACCATATACTGTACACGGGCCAAGAGGCAGTTATTCGAACAGAACATGGGAACACTGAATGGTTTAAAATTAAGAAAGGTGTGCGACACGGTTGTATTCTTTCACCAAACTTATTCAACCTGTATGCTGAGCAAATCATCTGAGAAGGTGCTTTATATGAAGAAAAATGTGACACCAGGATTGGAGGAAGACTCATTAACAACCTGCGATATGCAGACGATACAAACTTGCTTGCTGAATGTGAAGAG